GTTTCACTAGATTTCAAAGTCTTATTTTATCAAACACTCAGGAAAAATCCACAAAAAAAATAGTATACCCAATTTCTAGATGAAGAAACTAAGGTTCATGTGTCATCTAGGGGCATAAAGAGAATGGAAGAAACTAATAAAACAGATGAAGAAGCACAGTTTGTGGTGAAATAGCTCCACTTTGCTATCTTCTCTCTTTTTCCTGGAGGGTTATATGGTGGCTCTTTAGAGAAAGGCAGGGTAAGGGACACACCATACACTTTTGATCCCAGGCTATAGTTCCTCAGATTCTTCGGGCCTAGCAGATTTATTCTTGTCTCCCAAAAAGATGTCCTTCTGAAAGGGGAAGCCCTAGCCACCATCCCTCCCCCAACTCCTTCTTCCTCTTGCTCTGTTATCTCCCAATGGGATTGGGGGCTTGTTTTTTGAGCCCTTTCTATTTTCAACCATAAATACTTGGCTCCTTGGCAGCAGAGCCCTGTCCATGATGCACAACCCAAGATCTTTCAGTGAAAGAATGAACAAGGGCCTGCCTCAGTGATTCCAGCTTTGGATATCTAAAATGATGTCCCTTGGACGTCTCACTGTTAAGATTTGTGGCCTGGAGAGAATAAATGCAGATCTCTGGCCCCATTTCCCATATTCGGTTCTTAGCTTCACCCTGTATCAGGAGGGACCCTTGCATGAATCCAAGCTCCATCCACCTCTCCCCATCCCAAAAGCTTTCCCTGAAGCCCAGTCTTTCCTGAGAAGACCCAATCAGGAGTAGGGGAGTCATTGCACAGGGCTGGATTCTAGGGTAGGGGAGTCTCATGTGATCCAGAGAGAGAAGGTACAGGCTCTGATTGGAGCATCCCCTTGTCTCTGTATACCTTTTGGCCTTGCAGAAGGGCATTCAGTTGGAATTTAGCCCAAATGGGGTCCCAAGCCTTTCTATCCAAAGTGTGGTCTCTAGACCAGCATCATCATCATCACCAGGAAATCTCAGGCCACATTCCAGAGCTACCGAATCAGAATCTGTCACTGGACAAGATCATTGGGAGATCCGAGGGATCTCTAAAAAGTGAAAAGCCCTGCTCCAAGGTGGGATGCCCAATACCCTGATATATAGGCAGCACTGCCTTCTGTGAGCAACAGGGTACAGGAGTTCCTCTCCTTTATCTAGCATTTTATAAAACATAGGGAAAATCCTAACTCTGCCCAGTTGAGGAGAGAAGTAATTTTCTAGTAGTTTTCTAATCTCTTATTTCCTGGGTAAGGGAAGGAAAATGTCAATAGGGTCCTCATTCTTCCTTCATGAACTTCCCAAGAAAATGGCTTCCTTTTCCCAAGTCTCTAGCTTATTGTTCTGTGTAATAAATTAATAAGACCAGATGACTCTCTTTAACCTTCCTTCCAGAGAAGCCACACTTCTGTGAATGAGAAGCAGCGTAAAACTGTGGAAAGAAGGTGGGATTTTGAGGGAGGCTGACCTTGCTTACAACTGTTGCTCTACAAGATACAGCATATATGATCTTGTCCAAAAACAACCTCTGATCTTCAGTTTCCTGTCTCTAACGGTGAGTGATAAAACCACTCCATTACAGACATGTACACAGGACCTAATACAGAACTATAGTCCATAGTACAGGTTTGGCAATCACCCATGTTTATTCTGGCACTAATATTTATGATTTTGCAGATAACTAAGAGATTCTTTAGGCAGAAACAGACATTAAATTTGCAGAAATGTTAAGATTCCCTGCTTCTTTGTTTTTACCTAAGAGGGTCTCCCTTTTTTCACGAAAAGCTTGAATATTGTTGTCAATATCAGAGGTGGGAAGACTTAACTCTGAAACAGTGGTCAGAGCCATTAAATAAATTCCCTTCTTCTATTTGGATTGAACACAACCACCTAATTCTCATGGTCTCTTATCTCCATCTCCATGTTCTGAGTAACGAGGGGACTTCAAGAAAGACACCACAAAAAGAAAGATGAGGTTTCTATAGGAGAAGAAAGAAATATGAATCACTGTATCTTGATTTTTTTCCTCCTATGTATCTACAAAAAGCAAAGCAGCTAAGTCAATTGGAAAGGAGAGGAGAGGAGAGGAGAGGAGGAGGAGGAGGAGGAAAGGTGGAGGAAAGAAGGCAGTAGTAGGAATTGTAAACAGCACTGATGCCCAACTGGATTTCTTTATATTTTTTTTAAGAGATCAGACATGGCAAAAAATAAAAAGAAATGAGATGGTAGAACAGAATGGCTGTGAGTTTTTTTAACTTACAGTTTGCCAGAGGGAAAAATACCATTTTTGACACATTTTTATTCCACACAGGGTTACAATATTAATTGGCTTAGCAGACTTACAATCAGCAATTTCTATTGCAGTGCACAGGTTAATGGAGTTGCCAGAGTGTCTCCGATATGAAATTGTTGCCTCATAATTATGTGGTTCTTCAAATTCAGCACTGAGAAGCACAGACAAAAAAAAAAGGTTATTTAAAATAAAACATTTCTTTAAACACAGTTTAAAACTCTTTGTATTTTTTTCTCATTAGAAAGTAATGTAAGTGTGTCTGGCCAATACGGTGACCTAAGCAGACATGGAAGGCACACACATCTCTCCTTTAAACGCACAGGAAGTCTAGATGAAATATAACCATGCAAAATACTGCACAAAGATTACATAGCTCACGTGGAAATCAATAATGTAAAATCCCCGGTGCCAGTTACAGTGAGAAAACCCACAGTAAAAGTTGCTAAGGAATACTGTAGTCAAGGGATTCCAAGGGAAATTGAGACTAGATAAAGAAAGGACTTAATGATTGGGCAGTTGGGGATTTAATGTCTGAGTCACAGGGAAGTCTGAGCCACAGGCTTCATCTGAAGGGGGAGCTGTCATTGAGCTATCAACATGAAGTCCAGAGTCACAAAATGATGTTCTATCTGTAAAATAAATTCTAGAAAGAAATTGTACACTCTCCCAGAGAAAGAGCAAGAAATTTTGTTGTCTGACTATGGCAAGAGAATTGAAAGAGCTTGATTTCTCAAATATGAGACATCATAAACTCAAAAACCCAGCATCAATGTGGGAATCTAAATTCAACCTGTATAATCTGGAGATACAAAGCCAAAACTAGAACTTGAACTTCAAATCTTCCTCATAAAGACAAACCTGAAATAGTTCTGTGAAGTTGTGTCCAAAACCTCTGGAACCTATGTCTGCGAGGAAAACAGGACCCTCTTAAGTCAGTCCCAAAAAACAAAGGACAAATGTTCTCTCTCTCTCTCTTTTTTTTTCTTCTACTATATGTGGATACTAAGCTATATGTAAGGAGGGGAAGCACAGAAGTTCATTGGATTGGACAAAGGGGAATGAAGGGAGTGGGAAGAGGAAGAGAAAAAAGATAGTAGAATGAATCAGACATAACTTTCCTATGCTCATATATGAATACAAGACCAATGTAACTCCAAATCATGTTTAACCACAAGAATTGGATCAAAACTGTAATGGGTTGCACCCCCTGTGTATATGTCAAAATACACCCTACTGCATGTATATCTAAAAAAAAAACAACAAATTTTTAAAAAGGGGAGGCTTATAGCCCCAAACAAAACCATGCAAGGAGATGGGCCACCACAGCATACACAGTAGATGCAGCTAGCAGGGGATCAAACAATAGAGTTATATGAAAAGGAATTTAGAATAAGTGTGTTTTTTTAAGTGTTCAAAGAAATTGAGTAATAAAAGCTATTAGGCATATTTAGGAATAGGTGGAAGAAGTTATAAAAATCATAATTATAGTTCTTTTTTTTAAAGAGAAAGAGAATAAATTTTTTTTAATATTTATTTTTTAGTTTTCGGTGGACACAACATCTTTATTTTATTTTTATGTGGTGCTGAGGATCAAACCCAGCGCCCAGCACATGCCAGGTGAGCATGCTACTGCTTGAGCCACATCCCTAGCCCAATTATAGTTCTTGATATAAAAAATTAATGTAGATGGGGCTGGGGATATAGCTCAGTTGGTAGAGTCTTGCCTCACATGCACAAGGCCCTGGGTTCAATCCCCAGTACCACATACACACACATACAAAAAATAATAATAATGTAGAAACTGAAAAGCATATTAGATACAGAAAAAAGGAAACTGATAAATTAGTTAGATCTGAGAAAATCACCCAAGTATAGTAGAGAGATTAAAATAGAGAAAATAATGAGAGAGGTTAAGAGACAGGGTGGATTGAAAAGGGACAGCATAAATATACAAGGAATTCAGGAAGCAAAGAAGAAAAAGAACAATGAAAAGGAGTTACTATTCAAATGACAATAGTCAAGACTTTTCAAAAATTGAAATGGGACATGAATCTTTTTGTTGCACAGCCTCAATAATGAGAAATAACAGTAAAGCCACACATGTGGTTTATAATATGTAAGAACAAGTCAAATAAAAATGTAAAAGCTGCACGAGAAAAAGACAGTCAACTGAGGACAGAAACCAGACTGGAATGTGTTTCTCATTAGTACAGTAGTTGATGGAGAAGGTGGAGAGTACCTTGAAACACTGAGGAAAGAAATCTGTCAATATAAAGATTCTAGTCCAGCTAAATTATCACTTAAGAGTGAGAGAGAAACCAAGATATTCTTAGAATGCAAGTCCATGCATTTAGTACTCACAGACCTTGCTGAAATATACCAAAATGATGCACTTTGGTAAAAAGAAATTGAACTAGTAATGAAGTGTGATATAAGGAACAAGGGTGAGCAAAGGAATTAATAAAGCAATCGGGAAATCTGAATAAATATTGACTGTGAGGATTACTAATTTGGAGAAGTTTAAGGGAATTACAATATTACCTAATAATATGGAAGATAGAGGGAGTGTGCTACTGGAAATTCTTTGCAGGTCTTTATATTATTGAGGAGCAAGCTAGAATTTTTGAATAACATTAGACTTAGTTAATTGTAGATGTCAAAGTTTGACCATATGCACTAAAAAGAAAAGAAATAAGGGTATTTAACTTTTTGACTGATAGAAGGGAGACTTTTAATGGAAAAACATTTTAAAAAAGGAGGAGGAGGAGAAAGAAGACAAAATACAAGTAGAGAAACTATATAAATTATAATGGCAAAAG